AAGTGCTGTACAACCGCAAGATCAGCAGCTAACATTACCAATGCTCGGTGTTGCCGGCGGCGTGGCAGAAAATAAGCATGGTGCCTGTATGTGAATGCAAGTTTTCAACTTCATCTGTGCCTATCTCTTGATTCCCGCGATCAGTCAAGTTCAACTCTTCTGAAATTTACTCTATGGTACTCAGTCCATCTTCCCTCAAATTTTTGTGGCGATTGATGCTGTAGTGGGCGCGTTCTTGTGCTTGGTCGCTTTGGCGGGTGCACAGCAGGGTGGTTGCGCCGCGTAGATACGAGTCTCACATTTTTTTAGGGGAGGGGCTGCGTGTTGCGCCGACAAGTTTGAAGCCTACAGTGGACGGAATTTGCCAAATCTTGGTTCCCTAGATAGCTACTGGCATAGTCTACTGCTGTAAGCCTTTAGCCTTCGGTGGATGTACGCCAGTCGCGCTGCTAATCTGTGTAAAACGATTTTTTTTGTTCCTCCGCTTACTTTTTTTTTTTTCTGTCGTGCAGCACTGGAGAAATTCAAAAAAAAAAATGAGGGGGACGGCAGATTTTGCACCGAGATATGCCCATTTGAAGGTCCTTATAGGGGGGGTGGTCCTTAATATCCGCCCTTACTCTACCCATTCGAGATTAAGAAGCAGATGAACGCGTATCGGCTGGTGTCTGGGTTTATTTACATATCGAAATAGTCTGTAAAATACTTGTAACAACACTACTGTAGTGTAACAGTGTTGAACGAATTCCTGGCCAGGTACTCACAGAAAAGAAAGGTGTTGTTTGTGGCACGTGGAGATAATTAATAATGATAAACCGAGGGGGGGCATTTGGCACACGTCGAAGAATCCCTTATGATGTTGGTGCGGTGCCTCTAGCTGGTTGTCCCGCACGATCTCAGGCGTATAGCTCTGTCTCGATATATATATATATATATATTTTTTTTTTCTTCTTAATATCACACAACAAATCCATCTCTATCTATCTCTAGAAATACGTCTAAGATAGATTATTAGCAATGAATCCATAGCGTGAGCGAAAGGCTACCTGTATGTCTACGGTTTCCCAGACAGCATACAAAGATAACTCCCCTGTTGGTAACAGGCTCAACAAGGCAGTTTGGTAGCCATCTTGTGTATCAATCTGTAAGTTACGTTGGGAAGTTGTAGACGGAAGATTTAGGGGTACTCGGTTTGTCGGGTGTTCTATTATAGCACCCTTATGTGGTTGCGGAGCAAGCGCGTTTCGGGTTGTGTATAGTTTCGTCATCAACTTTTTGTTTATTTGTGATGTATGGGGGCATGGCGGCGCGGGAGAACATATATATTTACCCTGTGCGTGTGTGTGTTTTTCGTCCGATGTGTAATGGCATGTCGTTCAATGTGAGAAGGGCACGGGAGAACATTATTATCTCATCGTTGCCTTCTGACGTGGCCGCCGATAGAGGCTTGTGGTTGGGGTGTCATCACTGACATGTGGGTGTGTGTTAAATGCAGTGGGTATGGTCATCATGCGCTGGTTGGTGGCCATATTTGCGTGTTTGCTTTTTCGTTAGTGGTCTCTCCACCGTGTGCCTTTTTCTGTCTCGTTTTTGTTGTTATTTTCGGCCTGGTCCCGTTTGTTTTTAGAAAGTAAACATAACCTTACAGAAAGACTACCCGTTCGAGATATAACCTCAGTCGAAAGGGATGTGGTGAAGGTAATTTGATTGAAACCAACTGGAGACTTGGCATATTTTGAGTTTGGTCCCTTGATGTCGTCGCTCTTTTTCATTTCATTTTCTCTTTCGTTATTGTCCTGAAGCGCCTCCGTGCCATCTTCGTCGAAGTGTGGAATGGGGGAGAGATGCCGCAGGAGCGGAAGGATGCCGTCATTAAGGTGTTGTACAAGAAGGGTGACCGGACGAACTGCAACAACTTCAGGGGCATCTCGCTGCTCTCGCATGTAGGCAAAATACTCGCCAAGACCATCACCAACCGCCTGAGCGCATTCTGCGAAGCCAACGAAATCCTCCCGGAGGAACAGTGCGGGTTCCGGCCTGGCCGATCCACGGTATGCATGCTGTTCGTTGTGCGCCGACTCCAGGAGCTGGGGCGGAGGAGGAGAATCCCGCTCTACATGTGCTTCATCGATCTGCAGAAGGCATATGACTCGGTGGACCGGGAGCTACTGTGGAAGGTGCTGGCCCGGGCCGGGATCCCCGGGGAGATGATCGCCGTCATCCGCAAGTTCCACGTCGGAATGCGGGCCCGGGTCCGCACGGACGATGGGGAGCTATCGGACTGGTTCCCGGTC